ATTATTACGTTGCAATGTTTACAAGCTTTACACGTTTTCCGCAGTTTGAAACACTGAATGAGCTTTTACATGAGACATTTCAGTAAGTTGTACTGTAGGCTTTCTTATAAAATAGCCTACCTTTTGATGTTAATTAATGTTCATTATGTACTATAGTAGTAAAGAGAAAGATCAAATGGGTTCCCTTGCCGCTTGAACTGAGGCGCTAAAGCGATCGCGCCTGCCGCATTAAAGAGCGCCAAAACTGTATTTATTGTTTGAATTTTGTTATGAATTTGGAATAATTTTAAAACTGGTACTTTGTTTATTAAAAAGTAACAAAGCACAAAGCTTTTTGTTAGTAATGATTCTAAACGAGAATTGTTAACGATACTGCCAATATCCACACAGCTGACAGCTTTACCTGTTGTAGTTTGTTCAAGTTGTGCACGAAATAGACTGCTTTTCTGCACTTTCACTTCGCACATCTCCGTCATTTCTATCTCTCTCGTGCTGCACAACTGAGCTGCGTTTAGCAGGTGTGCGACAATGCTGCTGTACAGCAGAGATGAGGACTGTTTCAAACTATTTTTTCCACTAAAACTTTGATTCGCATCGTCTCAGTTTAATGCGTGAACATAACAAAAGATGTGATCGCAAAACAATCAGGAAAAAAGGCATTACATGCAAATGTTTATGTTATAACATGTAAATATATATAGTCGCCAGTGGCGACCACAGCAAAAACTTCACTCGCAAATATTTTTGGTCACAAATGCGACCGTTTTAGTCACAGTCTGGAGCCCTGATAGGGCCTTATTTATTTCATTTGTGTCTTTGTTTTATTGTATTTGTCCTTTAGTTTGTTACTTGCATCTATGTTCTTATTATTAATAACAAAGAAAATAACTAAAATGACTATATCATGATATAAATTGTTATTGTGAAATAAAATTACTATATAATGAAATAAGATTTGGCTTTAACCTTTTAGCTAACTTACCAATGTAGCAAAGATCTCTACATACCTGTAGGCTCGGTAGTTGCTCACCATAGTCCTGTGTAGTGGCACTGGCATGTGATTATTTTTTTATTTTTTTATATATATAAAATAACTATGATGTCCATTTGAATCATCTATTATTCAATGACTTTCCTTTTGTTCTGTTTTGTCATAGTATCAGTTCAGTAGTAGTATCGTGATATTTTAGTCAGTTATCGTATCGAAGTTTTGGTATTGTGACAACACTAATGAAAAGGAACATTTTTAATGGTTTTAGTTAACCATATTAACTCTGATAATCACTGATTTTTATGCCATTATAATTATGTGAATTTGTGTGATACGTGGTCACAAATGTATTTATTTATAAGCTACATTTCTCACTTGAGATTTAAGATTTAAATAATTCTCTGAACAAAACTTTTAAGTTAATTTATCCTGTGAGCTGTACTCATGCTGTGAGTACAGCTTACAGACTACCAAGCTTTTAAATTTCAACTTGATGTTTGAGGTTAACGAAAGTTGCCTTGTTTATCTGCAGTTTTAGAACTTTGTCTTAGCTTTTTAGTTTGTATTGTAACTGCATTTGATTTAAAAGTGCATTACTACTAATTTTTTTTAGAGAAATGAGTATTTGACCAAAACATTTTTCAAATGTACACTTGAATGAGATTAATTATCCAGTATTGAGTATTGTAGCTATTTGCATTTATTTAGAAACCTACCAAATGGCCTCAGAAAAATATGATTGAAAAGTGAATATCAGTAAAAAAAAAATGCTTTTGCTCTTAAAAAAAAGTGTCTGTGAAGTACTTTGGCTTTTTTCCAGTTTGTGTGGAGTTGGATATTCAGAGTTTGGCAGTAAACACCATTCTACAGTCCCAGCATGTTAACGACATGGAAGGCGGGGCCAGCATGGGCGTCAGCTTTGATGTCATTCAGCATGCATCTCTGGAGGAAATGATGTCAGGGAATCAGGGGGCAAACACAGTGGCCAGCTATGACGAGACGGCGCTCTGCTCCAACACATTCAGGTATGCATGTAGAAATTAGTAAGGCCAACAAATGTAATCCATCTTGTTTTTCATCAAAACTCTGTGTGTACAAAAGAGTTAACACTAGGGATGTAACGATATTATCAATATCGCGATAACAAAACTGTCTCGATATTATCGTGGTCGCATGACAATATGAAACGATAGGTCTTCTGGGCAAAAAGTGCAGTATTTAAAATATATTTGTTTTGGGCCATTATGCTTTGGCACATTATCTGTCAAACGAATTAAAACCGAAAGCACAATATGGCTTAATCCCTTCATCAAGTCTGTTTTTGCTGCGTGATTTAAAGTGAAGCGCAAACATTGATCCGGTGTTTTCCGCGCCTCAGAACGGCTCCGTTCACAGTGAATGAATGCAGTGAACTCGTTTATTGCACGTGCTGTGAGTTTAGCGCGCGTTTGGGAACGCAACTGCCACCATTTAGGCTTTATTTTCGCAGCAGGTGATTACAGTATTTCACTAGATGTGTAGTGATACACGTTTTTGTAAGCCTGTTTTCACTGAAGCTGGAGTTTTCCTTCAAAATAAAAGCTTAAAAGTGCAGATTATTATTATTATATTCTAATTAGTTTGGCTTCCTAAAACACCAGTGTGAATGTAATTTAGACTGAGACAGTATATCACAAACAAAAAGAGGGTTAAGTCACCTTTAAAATGCAGGTAAAATTCAATTCACTGACTTTTTTCTGACTTATGTTTTCTTAGTTAATAACATGGGTTGGAGCTCTTAATTTTGAACTCTCAAAGTGCATTAGATAGAATTTTTTAACTTTTAAAATGTACAAAATTTTAATTTCTTCCCAGTTCTTCATTTGTCTTTTTTTTTTTTTTTTTAATATCGCAATAAAAATCGTATCGTGGACTTCATATCGCAATATCGTATTGTGAGATTTTGATATTGTTACATCCCTAGTTAACACTATTTTCTGTCCTCATGCAGGATTCTGAAGAGTATGGTTGTCGGTTGGGTCCGAGAGATCACGCAGTATCATAACGTCTACGCTGATAACCAGGTGATGCATTTTTACCGGTGGTTGCGATCACCCAGTTCTCTGCTGTACGACCCGGCCCTTGCCCGCACACTCCTCAACATGATGAAGAAGATCTTCCTGCAGTGAGTACAGCTCACAGACTACCAAGTTTTTATATTTTAATTTGATGTTTGGGGTTAAAGAAATTTGCTCTATTAATTTATCTGCAGTTTCAGAACTTTGTCTTAAAATAGCTTTTTAGTTTTATTTTAATTGCATTTGATTTAACACGGCAGATGCTTTGCCCAAAGCCACTTTCAAAGTATACATTATCAGTTAAACCCATGACTTTGGTGTTGATAGAACCATGCGGTGCTGTTTGAGCCACAGAATGACTACTTGTGTTGTTCACACCTCTTATTCTAAACATGTCAGACTTGTGGCAGAGTTTAAGCGCCTGGGATCATCTGTGATCTATGGAAACTTCAACCGTCTCATCCTCTGCACTAAGAAACGGCGCATTGATGACGCCGTTGCATACGTGGAGTACATCACTAACAGGTTTTAAACCTTTTTATTTTTTTTCCATTCTCATCTAGACTCTTAACCTAGTTTCTTATGCAATGTGAAAGTCTGAAGTCCAGGCTTCATTTTCTGTTTACTGTTTGTCTTCCTGTCTTGTGTCTCGGCATTAGTATCCATTCAAAGGAGATCTTCCACTCTCTGTCCATCACATTCTCACGCTGTTGGGAGTTTCTGCTGTGGATGGATCCAGCTAACTATGGAGGAGTGAAGGGAAAGCTGCCCTCTAGCCTTCTGTATGGAGAGGTAAAGCACAGGGCCTAGAAACCACTTGTTCTTCTTTACAAGTTAAGAATTTTTATGTGTAAAAAAATTGTTGGCATTTTAACTATTCAAGTTGAGTTTCAACACATTTTTATCCATTCTAGCATGGCAATGAAAAGAAGAAAAAGAAGGATGTAGAGGAGGAGGATGGAAGTGAGGAGGAGGAGGAAGAAGATGAAGAAAACCAAGGGGAGGATGAAGAACAGGATGTGGAAGATGATGTAGAAGACTTGATTGAAAGTAACTGGAACATCATGCAGTACCTTCCTCAGACAGCATCCTGTCAGAAATACTTTCTCATGATCATTTCAGGTAATATTACAGGTTTAATTTGTTTGACCCTTCAAAATTCCTCTCACTGTCGGATTGTTCAGCCTTATAATAAAAATGAGTTTGTGTTTTTTGTTTCATGTAGGACAATTTAGGACTGCACAAATAATCAAAATAAAACTGATATTGCAGCATGGCTTAGTGCAATTATCAATTGCGGTGATTAAATTAAATGAATATATACACTGCGTGTTTTAGAGTGAAGTGCAGCATTGTGTTCTTACGTGTGAGCAGCTCCATCTTTGCATCTGCTTTGAGTTTGGGTTGCTCTAACATGCATTTGGAAAAGCAACATGCATCAATCATCTTCCTAAATGTGTAATAAAAAAACCTGTAGCAACAAAAGAGATGCTTTAAGGGCTCTCTGTGGTTTTCCATCAAAATAAACGTTTGACGGTTTAATGTTTAAAAATGTAGAAATTGAGATTTTCACTGCAACTGTAAAATTACAATAGAATTATTAAATTTTTTTCTTAAATAATTAAACTTTATTTTACAATGAAATATTATAGTAATGTTTCTTATTTTTGTTTTTATTTAGTAATTTTATTTAGTAGTAGTAATAATGATAAAAATGATTATTTTATAGTCAAGTTGATATACAAACACAAAATCTTGGTCAAATTGTCCAGCCCTACAAACCTGGAACACAAAAACATGAAACCTGAAATTTTTTTAATACATTCTGAATCATAATGACAATTTTTATCATACTTTTTTTTTTTTTTTTTTTTTTGTGCAGCCCTAAGTCAATTTTATTATAATTTCTCATCATTTCATTATATTTGGTGGGTTGTTTGCAGCCTACATTGCAGCTGTCTATCACAGCATGAAACAAGAGCTTCGGCGAAACGCCCCTGGTGCTACTCCCATTAAGAGACGAGGAGCGACCCAAGTATCCCAGCAGCCAACTGGGGATGTCAGTGCACTTCCTGGTAAGAACTAAAACAGTTCAGCTTTGTCTGTTCCAAAATATTGAGTGCTTTTGTAATGGGTTATTTATGACTGTATTCTCTAATACACTTTCCATGAAATGAATCCTGATGAATTATTTGGACTGTTGTTTGATTAAAATATTTAAATTTCATATTTTCAAATACAAATTAGAGTTGATATTTTCAAAGTTGAAATATTGAGAAAAAAAATCAATTTATTTCTAAATGTTCACCGTGTTAAAATCAAAATAAAAATGTTTTACAAGATTTTTTTAAAAGTGTTTATTTTTCTTATGTTTGTGCTGTTGTAGGTTTGATTACATTCTCTCAGGAGTATGTGTCAAGTGAACTCACACAGAACTTCTTCACCATCACTCAGAAGATTCAGAAGAAAGTGTCAAGCACTCGTAGTGTTACACTCCCATCTGAGATGTTTCCTGTTCTTCCTGGTTCTCACTTGCCCCTCAACAACCCAGCTCTGGAGTTTATTAAATATGTCTGCCAGGTATCAACACGCACCTCCTGCTGCTGTGTTTTTATACTGCAGTATTGTGTTTTAAACTCTTAACAACACATGACAGTGACAGTAAAAGCTTCTATTTCAAATAAACGCTGTTTGTTTGAACATTCTATTTATCAAAGAATCCTAAAAAAAAAAAAGAAGAAAAGCGTGTCAGTTTCCACAAAAACAATTGAGCAGCAAGTGTTTTCAGCAATGATTATGTTGCTGAAGATTCAGATTAGCTGAAACATTACTGTTTTAACTGTATTTTGGATCAAATAAATTGGAGAGCATAAGAGACTTCTTGCCAACCACAAACTTTTTGAACAATAGAGTACATTTTTACGAAGACCTCACACCTGTCTGATGTTTCTGTTTGTAACGTCCCTTCAGGTGCTCTCTCTGGACGCCAACATTGTCAATCAGGTGAACAAACTGAAACGAGATCTTTTGCGACTGGTGGATGTTGGAGAATTTTCGGAGGATGCCCAGTTCCATGACCCCTGCAAGTCCTACATCCTGCCAGAGGTCATCTGCCACCAGTGTAACTTCTGTCGTGACCTTGACCTCTGCAAAGACCCTGCAGTTTCCCAGGTAACAACAGGGCTCTTGTTACAGTTTATCTCTTATTTGAATGTGCGGTTAATGATTTGCTACTCATTCATGTTTACATTTGCTTAATGGATTCCAGTGGTTTTTTGAAAGTCATTAAGCTAATACTACTTGGTGTTTTCCCATGTTCAGACCTTTGTCATGTGATTAAGCTAGCTAAAAAAGGCTGTAATATTCTCACTTTGCTCTTCTTTCCTTTTTACCAATGTAGGATGGTTCAGTTCTTCCTCAGTGGTTCTGCTCTAACTGTCAGGCCCAATACGACACAGAGTCCATAGAAATGGCCCTGGTGGAGGCGCTCCAGAAGAAGCTCATGAGTTACACACTACAAGACCTGGTGAGGGACACAAACAGCATTATTTACCATGTTTCTGATGCTTTCAGAGGGTTTTGAAGGCTTTGGAAAAGTAAAATGTTTGAGTGTTAAATGTCCCAGTGTAATGTATATGCACATCCATTGACCTTCACTTATGTAAATGGAACTTTATCCCATCATAGGAATGTTCCAAATGCAAAGGAGTGAAGGAAGCAAACATGCCGCTGTACTGTAGCTGTGCTGGAGATTTCAACCTCAGCTTCACCACAAAGGTATTTATGCTAAACTAAATTGCTAATACTTCCACATATTAGTATTACTACTGATCAAAAGATTTATTTATTTTGAAAGAAATTAATACTTCTATTCAGAAAGGATGCATTAAAGGAATAGTTCACCAAAAAATAAAAATTTGCTGAAAATGAAGATGTAGATGAGTTTGGTTCTTCATGGGAACAGATTTGGAGAAATTTAGCATTACATCACTTGCTCACCAATGGATCCTCTGCAGTGAATGGGTGCCGTCAGAATGAGAGTCCAAACAGCTGATAAAAACATCACAGTAATCCACACCACTCCAGTCCATCAATTAATGTCGTGTAAAGCGAAAAGCTGCATGTTTGTGAGAAACAAATCCAAAACGTTTTTAACTTCAAACCGTTGCTTCCAACTAAAATACGAGAATATTTTCCTATTGCTTTATTCCAGTGAAAAAGTTGTCTCGTCTAAATCAGAAAAGCAATATACACAAATCAAGCACCATTTACAAGTGAAAACAGTACTAAACAAATATGTTGGTGAATTTTCATGTGAGAGGATGACAGGGGATTAACTTTTCCACTGGAGGAAGTGTTGTTATAGATTATTAGGGCTGTAACGGTACACATATTCGTACCAAAAATTTTCGGTATGGGTCTTTCGGTTCGGTACGCATGTGTACCGAACAAATACAGCGTTGTTTTAACCACTGCACGGGTGGAACTTAATTAGAAACTTCCAGTTTAATGTACTGTTACTTTTGATAAGAAACATAGTCTCATCTTTCAAATTAAGTTAATTTTTTTCAGGAAATTCAAACAACTAATTCCATTTTGGCGCTCTTTGATGTGGCGTGACCGATCGCTGTATAAACGCCTCAGTTGAACGTCAGCGCGAGTGAACGCGATCATCCCTTACTATTTACTACTAGTTTTAACGCGAAATAAACATGAATGAACATCTCATGCCTCATGTAATCACTCAATCAGTGTTTTATCCATGGAAAGACTTCAATAAAACAGCTAGTAAACAAAATGTCACGTAGCATTTCATTACCTTAGGGTCCACAGCTCGTTAGTTCACTAGAGAAATGAAGTCCAGTGAAGAGCATTTCACAAAATATTGGACTATATACTCATATTTTACTTTTACCTGTTAGTGATGTCTTTATTTTTTAATGTGTGTTTAAATAAATCTGTTATGAAACAAGTTATGACAGCAACTGTGTAAATTAATATGTTTCAGCAACAACATAGGCCTAGAAATGTTATAATTTAGAAGTTAATTTAAAAACTGCATTAAGTATAATTTACTTTTTTTTTTTTTTTTTTAACCTTTATTTAACCAGGCAAATTAATTAAGAACAAGTTCTTATTTACAATAACATCCTGGCAGGAGAATTAATATCTCCTGAGAAACAACATCATATAACATCATACAAACATATATTACAATACATAAAACACATAAAAGAAAAATAAAATCTCAGTTCATTACAGGTTTACAGGTCGAGGTCAGAGCACTTACTAGTAATTTTTTTTAATGTACATACTGGAATATTTGTCTCTAATTTCAATAACTTTTGTAGCACATTCCAATCATTTGGGGCAGCAAATTCAAAGCCAGAACGACCATAAGTAGTTTTCTTTCTAGGGATAGCCAAGGAAATATAATTAGATGATCGAGTTGTATAAGAAATTAGAATGAGGTTTCAGCAACTTTTGAAGATATTCTGGTAATAAGCCCAGTAGAACTTTGTAAATAAAAATATACCAGTGGATTTCTCGTCTTGTATGCAATGATGTCCAATTCAAAAGGGAGTATATTTCGCAATGATGCGTTCTGTAAGGTGCATTAGTAATCAATCTAATTGCTGCATGATATAACATCTAATTGCTCCAGAACACCTTTACGTGCATTTCTATATATCACATCACCATAATCAAACAAGCATAAAAAAAGCTAAAATAGTAGTTTCAACAAGATATTTCTTGGCTGACTTGGTAAACACAGATCTATTTCGAAACAAGAAACCAAGTCTAGATTTAACTTTCTTCTGGATGTTAGTTATGTGGGTAGTAAAAGTCAAGGAGCTATCAAGCCAGATTCCGAGATATTTATATGAGGATACTACCTCAGTTATCGCCCATCCGAAGTTATGATGTCTTTATTATTTTGTTGTTTTTTTCCAAACCACATTACTTTTGTTTGTGTGCTATTTAAAACTAGATTCAGGTCAATAAAAGCCTCTTGAATATTATTAAAACTATCCTGTACCTGGTTTAAAACTTCATCATATGACGATCCCACAGCATAAAGAATCGCATCATCCGCATATAGGTGAATATAGGTTTTCTGACTACTGATAACCTGAGAAATATTATTAATATAGATTGAAAACAGGGTTGATGCTAACACAGAGCCCTGAGGGACCCCTTTATTAATAGTTAATGGTTCTGATAATTGTTGGTCAATCTTTACATATTGGGATCTTTTAAATAAATAGTTAGAAAACCAAGATAGGGTTAAATTAGACACACCAATACTACGTAATCTGGATAACAATATAGAATGATCAATTGTATCGAAAGCTTTAGCAGGGTCAATAAAAATAGCTGCACAAAATTGTTGTGTTTCTAATGCATTATAGATATCATTCATAACTTTTACAACTGCTGTAGTACAACTAAATGAAGAACGAAAACCAGATTGAACTTTAGTTAAGATGTTATTTGTATTAAGAAACCCTATCAATTGCTTATTAATTCGTTTTTCCGTCACCTTTGCAACACAAGGCAAAACTGAGATTGGACGATATGAATTTGGATCCATTTTATCACCACTCTTATAAACAGGAGATACAATGGCTACTTTCCAAATTTTAGGTATTTCAGCTGTAGTTATAGATAAATTGAAAATATATGTTAAGGGTTCAGATATAATTGATGCACCTACTTTAAAAAATAAAGGATCTAAAGCATCTAAACCAGCAGGCTTTTTTGAGTTAGGTTTATGTAATTCATGCCAGACCTGTAACTTATTAACTGGTTTTATAAAAAAACTAAAAGGTAAAATAGTTTGAATGTTTCTTATATGTCTCGTTTTATTAATATACTGTCTAGGAACATGATTCTCAAATAAATTACTTGCTCTAATAAAATGTTTATTTAAAAGATCGGTTACACTTTACTTGAAGGGGTGTGCATAAGACTGACATGACACCTTCATAATCATGACATGACACCTTCATAATCATGACATGACACCTACATAATCATGACATGACACCTACATAATCATGACATATGTCATGATTATGAAGGTGTCATGTCATGATTATGAAGGTGTCATGTCATGATTATGAAGGTGTCATGTCATGATTATGAAGGTGTCATGTCATGATTATGAAGGTGTCATGTCATGATTATGAAGGTGTCATGTCATGATTATGAAGGTGTCATGTCATGATTATGCACACCCCTTCAAGTAAAGTGTTACCAAAAGATCTGCTACTTTTGCTTTGTCTGTAACAACAATATCTTCGTTATTAAGTGAAACAGGTCCCTGTGGTAACAAATGTTTGTTTTCTAGTTCTTTTACCGTACTCCAATAAGTTCTTGAATTTGAGGAACAATTGGAGAATTGCCTTTTATAATACTCAGATTTTGCTTTTCTAATAGCTTTAAAATGGCTTTACATGTTTGCATACTTTTTTTTTAAGTTGAGTGTTGATTATTATATTTAAAAATAAATAGCAATTAAATTTAAGTTTGGGCTCTGTTGTTAATTGTACTCTTATAGTAATGTAAAAGGGCTCCCTGTTTAGAGCAAACCTAAGGTAGATTTTTATCCATAAGAAAATTGTAATATTAATTGAATTTATTTAAAGAAAGAGCAATTTGTTCAGTAAACCATTGTTTGATAATAATAAAAAAGCAATTTGATGTATAGTTTTTTCCCCCCTGCTGTACCGAAACCATACCGAACCGTGACGTAAAAACCGAGGTACACACCGAACCGTCATGTTTGTGTACCGTTACAGCCCTATGGACTCATATTTTGGCCAGAAGCAACAGTTTAATGTTAAAATGTTTTAATAGATTTGTTTTCTTATAAACACGCAGCTTTTTGCTTCACAAGATATTAACTGATGGACTGGAGTTGTGTGGATTCCTTGTGGATTATTGTGATGTTTTTATCAGCTGTTTGGACTCTCATTCTGACGGCACCCATTCACTGCAGAGGATCCATTGCTGAACAAGTGATGTAATGCTACATTTCGACAAAATGAACATAAGAGACTCCTTTCAAAAATATTTTAAAAAATATTACAGACCTCAAACTTTTGAATACTTAATGTAGGTTTTACAGCTAATGGACCACCTACAAATATTGTTTAGTCATGTAATGTCTCATGTTTGCTCATTTCCACTTGTTTGCATGTTTACAGAGCTTCACTGAGCAGGTGGAAGTGTTCCGGAACATTGCCGCCCACTATAACATGAACTTCCTGCTAGAGACCATTGACTGGGTCCTTAGTATGAACGCATAGGTGCTTTTTCACCGGATACACTCCATCATTTGTGCCAAACAATGTGTCATTTGAGCCATTTGTACAGATCTGAATTCATATGAAACACTGGAACAATTTTGGTACTGGAACTTTTTTATTTGTGTGTTAATAAATATTTTTGTATATGAGCAATCAACTTTTGCAATGATCTTCAATCACTACTTCCGAAGTAATCGAATGCAAATTATGATTTTGGTCATTTATGGTTACTATCTGAATCTGCAATGATATTTGCAGATGAGGGGTATCACTCTTGTTCAGTTTCGATTAATTGTGCAGCCCTATTTAGTGTCACACTTTAAAGTTGATATGAAATCAAAAATGTTTCAAAATATTAACAGTATGATCAAAACAAATGCTTCTCTGGGTCCTCTGGATTGAATCATGTGACACATTTACATGAAACCGAATATTCAGTGATAGTTTATCTTACTGAAGATTTTTTTTTCATTGAAATGTGTCACATTTTACAAAAGGAAAACATTGCAACATATTTTCATGACTGTTCAAAGATGGAGGGATACATGCAAACCCGTTGCGTAGTTGAATTAAACACTAAACATATCAATTGGTGATCGTTGTTTAACATTTATTGAAGCATAGCTTAACGGATACTTGGTTTTGCGTGTTTTTGAAGCTTTTCTAGATTCAGATATGACATTTTGTGTTTCTTACGACAGGAGAATATCCTGTTCTTTTTGTAAAAATGTCCTACTGTGCTGTATATTTGGCAGCATGCTGTCACTGGAGAGTTTTCGGTGATGGCAGGATGTTTTATAATGGCACGCCATCTGAGAGGTCAGAGTGGGTGGAGCCATAGCTTGTAAGCGTGAGGTCTGTTGTGATTGGCTGACTGGGTTTCTTGAAGACCTGGTTAAAGAAATGGAAGCTTTTGATTATTCTGTTCGAGAAATAGAAAATAAAAATGTTGTCACTTATTGCCTGCCATGTTTTAAAACTGGGGAAAAAAAATTGAAACGGCAAAATCTTTCGAATGTCTCTCAATGAATGACCCTCAAGAGTCATATTAAAAACATTCTAACCACAATATACACTGTAAAAATAATTTTTCAATGTAAGTAGAACTAAAATAACTGAAATGGAAAATACTATGGAAACTTGTTTCTGCTGCAGGTAACTGGTTATATCTCACAATTCAGACTTTTGTGAGATATCAATTCAGATTTTCAAAACATAAACTCATAATTCTGACTTTTGGCATCACTTCCATGTTTACATCTCACAATTTTAACTTTTTAAAAACTGACTTTTTCTCAGAATACTGATTTTAAATCTAGCAAATCTAATTTTAAGCAAATCTTTTACATTTTTTTATAAGGTGATTGTAGCATTTTATGCAATGAAATTGAAAAAGAATTGAGATATAAACTTAGAATTGCAAAAATAAATTTAAAAAAATGTCTGAATTATGAGATAAATTTTTTTATTTGCAATTACCTTTTTTTATCCTGTGGTGGAAACAAGCTTTCATAAAATATTACTTCCGTCTTTCTACTTCAAAATTTCACATTTATTTAAATGCGTTACTTGACATTTACTGTATTTGTAATTATTAGTGAAGTTTACTAGCAATTTATGAGTGACACCAATTTTTTTTTTTTTTCGGTGTCGAACTTACTTTTTCTCAGAAATTGCTAGCAAATTTTACAATTACAAAGCAAGTAACTTCAAGGCGAAAACCTGAAATAGTATTTTCTTGTAAAACGTACTCCCATAATGTTTTATTTACAACTCGGTGTAATATTCTCCATCCTTTTGACTTACATCATCAAACTTCTTTTCGCTGAAGACTTCATTCTTATCGATAAACGTCAGCATGATCCAGTCACAGATGATAGAGCACTATAGATGACAGAAAATGAGACAACATTTACTCATATTAAGCATTGGGACAAATGAACACAAGCTGTATATGTCTGTAAATGCCTCTTTCCAACAGGGTTGCTCCAGATCAAGCACTGTGAGTGAAACCTGAGAACCATTCCCATAATGCAATTTGTGAAATGTTTATGTCTGCCATCAGTGTCATTAAGACATCATCTCACACTTTAACCCAAAATAACCATGTTTTTAATATGCATCCAGCAAAAAAACGTACAATTCCTACTGACGTCATGGCCGTGACTGTGTTGATGATGGTTGGAATCAGACTAAATCTTCCCGCCTGAAAAGAAATGTAGAGAGATTCAATATGAGGCGTCAACATGTCACTAATGTACTTCCTGTTTGGTCTCACATGTCCATGAACAATGACATCCAGGCGAATCCCATAGGCTTTTATGAGTGTCCTGTACTCCACACCATCCTTATGGTAATATTTGGCAAACCTGAAATGTTTGGAAGTTAATATGTTTCTAAATAAACATTAGGAACTAGTTGATCATCATGTTAATTACAATTGATTATTGAAATTCATATAGAGAGCTCATACCTGTAGTAATATCCTGAGCTGGGCAGGTCTTTTCTCATGTCTAGTCTTCTGAATGAATATGTTGGAATGCACTTTGATGGATCCACATCAAAATCACACTTCCAGTTAATGAACACGCCAATTATTCCACCCTAAATAAAATGACATTCAAAATATGCATTAACACCGTTACAAATGACTGAATTCAGAAGAGAGAAAAAATGCTGATTTGTTGTTTGACATTAAGCCGTGTACATGCCGTTCTGCAAAGTTCGCTGAATTTCTCTCGGGCCTGCGCTGCGATGAAGCCCAGGCTAAACACTGGACAATACGGGTTGGTTTCTGGGTGATAATGGCACCGTAACAATTTCTTTGGCTTGTTTGGTTTGATGTTGCCCCTATAGTTGAAACCATAAGTCATTTCATGAACATAAACATAAATTCAGCAAGGGTGCGTTCAATTTTCATTCAATTAAAGTGGCAGTAAAGACATTTTTAATGTTACGAAATAAATGCTGTTATTTTGAACTTTCTATTTACCAAAGAATCCTGACAAAAGTGTATCACAGTTTCTACATACATAGCAGCACAACTGTTCAACATTGGTAATAATAAATGTTTCATGAGACGCATATTAGAATGATTTCTGAAGGATCATGTGACACTGAAGACTGGAGTAATGATGCTTTGCATCACAGGAATAAATGACATTTTAAAATATATTCAAATAAAGCAATAAGCCGTGGTTTACAGTGAATTTATAACAGCTAAGGGGTGTTGTTAGGCACGACGCGGAGTGGAGTCTACGGGGATTATTGCTTTTATAAAACGGTTATTCCATATATGTAGCAATGTTTCACAAAATAAAACAAAGCAAATAAAATGTAAAATGTAGTTCCTCAGAAACGGTTGTTGTTGCAACAAAGTGGTTGCCAAGCAACACACAAATGTAAACAAAGGTGTATGTTTGTAGAGTAATTTACAATGGCTTCGAACGCTGCTCAACCAATCAGAATCAAGGACCGGAACTATCCGTTTTATAATAGAAAATTATTTTCAATTGTAACAATATTTCACATTATTACTGTTTGTACTGTATATTTGATCAATTACATGCAGCCTTAGCGACCATAAGAGACTTCTTTGAAAAATAATAAATAATCGTACCAAAGCTTTTGAACAGTAGTGTACACAGGAATTTCTGATAACATTTATGTTTTACTATATGCTTCTTCATGGTCAAACAAAACATTAAAAAGCATGCTGGCATTGCTTAGACATATCCTCTGGTTTATAAAATATGCTGAAACCCATCGACGTGCCTCAGAACTTTAAACTTTGGGAAATGGATGGCATTCTTTATGAACACTGTGAAATTAATGGCCTGTTCCAAAGCTGGTTCTCTGTAAGGGACAAGAAAGACATTTTAGTGCATTTCTCCGTTTGATTTCTGACAGATCAGTCAATAAAAGCACAATACCTGACAACAGCATATTCCTCAATGGGACACCAGGATTTGATCTCACAGGTCTTGAATGTGTAGTTGTAGTACAGGATACACCGTCCTGTTCTTTGACCTGTTCAGTAACAAGTTCACATGTCGATATAACACCAAGTCATTAAAGGTCCCCTGAAATGCTTAGAAACACGCAGCGTTACTCTATGTGTTGACGTCATTGCCAATTCCTGAAATGATTTTGATATTTATATTTATACAATGAGGTCACAATGCATTTTTTTTTAAATTAATGAATCAGTTAATCAAGTTTATTTAGTTAGTTTTAGATTTAAAAAATAACATTAGAGGGGGAAAAGAGGGCCCCACTGTATGTATGTATTTATTATAAACGTAAACCCCACCATGACCATCAAAATCTATTTCTCCTTGAGCGCAGTCAGAATCTTGTGTGCAGTTTGCATTGGCAACACTGTAATGCTGAAAAACAAAGAAGAAAATGCTGTTTGACTCGGACCAATCTTTCCAACCAAAACACGAATACTTTGTATTCATATGCAGTTGTGTATGTGTTTTGCACTCACCTCTGCGCATGTGCCCTGCGTCTGATCATGCATCACTTCTCTTCTAAGAATTGTACTGATTACATCACCACCCTGTGTGTTAAGAAATCCAGGGTTTTAAATGATTTTTCAATCAATTAATAGTAATGTTGACCATGCATGGCAAGACTACCTAGCAGGGAAAATTTGATTTGATCACAGTATCTGAAGTGACAAAGGATATCTGGTCTGCCCTGGAAACTTTTTTTGGAGTAAAATAATGCAGTTTATTCACCTCAGATGGTCTGACGTATTCTGTTGTGTCCTGAACGCTGTCTTCCAGCATGGCCACACCTCTCATCTCAGTGTACACCGAGCTCTCTGGACGCGTCTCGGTCTCAATATATATTGGGTATTTATATTACAACATAAAGACATTATACATAGTATAAAAATATTACACGTGTGGTACGGTATTGTGCGTAATTGCTACACGTTTATGACTTTCCATGCAGGCATTCACTCGTGCGCCTCAATTCAAGGGTCCTACTGTCTTGGCTGACTGACGTCACACAAAACACGTGTGTTCGGAAGACGCACGTTGGGACTGGATCTGTGCTGAGATCGATTTGCTTTTTATTGCAATAGTTTTTAATTTAGGTTTTGTCGAGTGAAAAAAAAACTCCGCTGTAATGGGCGGATTACAGAAGAAGAAGGTAAGAAAGTGATTTAGAGCAGTACTGTCGGTAAACAAAGCATGATGGGTTGATGAGCGAGCGCAGGGCCCTGCAGACCTGTGTGCTTTAAACATGTTACTCTACTCTAAACATTTAACAGTGTTTTCTAAATGACATTTGATAAAGATATACAAGCTTTTTTAATGACCACAGCATAATTTTTACTAGAATTTTCTATCTTTAATATTAATTGCAGCTGTTTTCAGCGTTGCTTGACAGCATAAGAGGAATGAAATAAGGGTTCTTAAGTCTAAATCATCTTAAGACTCGACTCCGTATGAAATATGTGTGTCGTTTCTGCATATTCCCGCATGTCAGCGCTCTTGCTAACCTGTAATTTCTTCTCGTGTAGTATGAGAGTGGATCAGTCACTAACTATGTCAGCAGGAATAAAGCCCGCAAGAAGCTGAGTCTGAGTCTGGCTGATTTCAGGTTGGTTAACAAAACAAAGCATTTCACTTATGTTCTGTCCTGGTGTCTTGGTATTTTTACGTACCTCATACTTTATATGTGACTCTGGACCACAAAACCAATCATAAGGGTAAATAAGCTTTCCTTTGATGTATGGTTTGTTAGGATAGGACAATATTTGGCCGAGATACAACTATCTGAACAACTGGAATCTATGGAAGCCCTTTTCCGCCACTGAATAAAAAATAAAACAAGGGTAATTGCGACTTTTTATCTCACAATTCTGACTTTTTTTTTCTCAGAATTGCGAGTTCATATCTTGCAATTCTGACTATAACACGCAATTGCAAGTTATAAAGTCAAAATTGCGAGTTATAAAGTCAGAATTGCGAGATATAAACTCGAAATTGCGAGTTATAAAGTCGCAATTCTGAGTTTTTTTTCTCGCAATTGCGAGTTCATATCTCGCAATTATGACTTTTTTCCTCAGAATTGTGAGTTACAAAGTCAGAATTGCGAGATATAAACTCAGAAATCTGTCTCAGTCGCAATTCTGATTGTATAACTCGCAATTGCGAGTTTATATCACGCAATTCTGAGAAAAAAAGTCGCAATTTACCTTGTTTTATTTTTTATTTAGTGGCGGAAACGGCCTTCCATGGGAATCTGAGGGTGCTAAAAAAAATAAAAATGGAGAAAATCGCCTTTAAAATTGTCCAAATCAAGTTCTTAGCAATGCATATTACTAATCAAAATGAAGTTTTAATATGTTTACGGTAGGAAATGTACAAAATATCTTCATGGAACATGATCTTCTTTACTTAATATCCTAATGATTTTTGGCATAAAAGAAAAATCGATCATTTTGACCCACACGATGTATTTTTGGCTATTGCTACAAATATACCCCAGCGACTTAAGACTGGTTTTGTGCTCCAGGGTCACATATAGTAGTATAGTTCATATAGAATGTCATATACCGCATATAGTGTCATATCTAAATGTTATGTGTATTAGTAGTTTTTAACTAGCTTTTGCTAAATGACATAAATTTGTGCTACAGTACCTCAGAGTTTGATTGAACATTTGACATCAATAATAAAGGATATTTAAAAGTTACTTTTAAAAGATAATGTTTTTATTTTGCTATCATCTCAACAATGTACAATGATGCCGTTAATTGCATTTTATTATTTATGTTTAGTATTTCTCCCCTGTTTTTTTTTTTTTGTAAACCACCAGTTGAGATTACAGATGTATATACTGTAAGCATTTGTGAATTAATACATGCTTCTCATAGGCGGTTATGCATATTGAAAGGAATCTATCCTCATGAACCCAAACACAAAAAGAAGGTCAACAAGGGCTCAACAGCGCCTAGAACCTTCTACCTGCTGAAAGACATCCGCTTCCTCTTGCATGAGCCTATCGTTGGCAAGTTCAGAGAGTACAAGGTGAGAACTGTGCTTTAGTAAAGCTAGATGCTGCTTTGTGTTTGCAGCTGCATCCTCTAATCCTTATCATTTTGATCACTTTTTCCATGTTCAAGCTTTAACTTAAATGACAGTGGAGCTAAAATACTAGTTTGGTAGGTAATAACAATGTAAAATATATGCCATAGAAACATGCAGATGATCAGCTGTGGAAACCTCTGACAGCCGAAAGTGAGAGAGAGAAATGTCAACTTTTTAAAGAAATATTTACTTCAAAGTTTCTTTTAATTGTTTTGGTTCTGTAATAGCTTTATTTATTTATAAAGGGTCATTTTTTTTCTACGAAAACTGGTCATGAAATTATAATTTACATGGTTTTTATTTAGAAATATGCTTTTGTCCCTATATTAAATTAATTAGCTATTTTTCGTGTACATTTGCATCAAACAGTGCATGTGACAATCTAGCCAGTCTCTCTGTGAAAACTCATAAAAACATTAAAACACTTGTTTTGGTTGCTTATTGCAAGTACAAGATTAAGTGTTATTTGCCACATAAAGTTCTGAAGAAAAAAAAACTAGGCATCCTAGATTAAATTCTGATATTATATTTTTCACTGAGGAAATAGTTCATAAGACAATCTATATGCTAACTATACATTCCCTGGTCATAGATTTTTGTGCGGAAACTGCGGAAAGCATATGGCAAGGCTGAGTGGAGTGGAGTGCAGAGAATGAAAGAGAACAAGCCTGCGTACAAACTGGACCACATCATCAAGGAGAGGTGAGAGTAAACACGGTGCTGTCTGTGGACTGCAGGGGGCGCACTTCAACTCTCTGTCCCAACAACAACAACATGCTGTGAATGACTTTTCTGTGTGTCCAGACAGTGTTATGTGATAAGCACCTATTTGTGTCCAAACGGTATTATGAGTACGGGAAGAGTCTCAGTACCTGTCCACAAACAGATCAGTTATGAGAATCCAAAAAGTCACAAGAATATCAAGAATATGATACTTTAATTATCTTGGCTCGACTGACTGTCTCGTACACTGTCTGTCTCGTTCTCCGTCCAATCTACTCTGTTTACAACTGTTACATCAGCAGGGTTTGGCAATTGAATTTTGAATTTGGAAGGAGAGGGTTTTTTTCCCCAACTGTTCAAAAGTTTGGGACAGTAAGATTTTCTTCATGCTTTAAATGCAAGTTCACCATGCTGCATTTTTTTGGTCAAAAAACACAGTAAAACTGTGTGTGTAAAAAAATATTGCACTTTGAAAGACCTATTTTCTATTTGAATGCATTGTAAAATGTAATTTATTCTTGTGGTGCAAAGCTAAATTTTCAGCATCATTACTCCAGTCTTCAGTGTCACATGATCCTTCAGAAATCATTCTAATGCTGATTTGCTATTTGATGAATTTTTTTTGGTCAAAAAACACAGTAAAACAGTAATATTCTGAAAAAATATTGCACTTTGAAAGACCTATTTTCTATTTGAATGAATTGTAAAATGTAATTTATTCTTGTGGTGCAAAGCTAAATTTTCAGCATCATTACTCCAGTCTTCAGTGTCACATGATCCTTCATATTTCTGTGGAAGCAGTGCTACGTTAGATTCTTTGATGAATAGAAAGTTCAAAAGAACAGCATTTTTTAAAATAGAAATCGTATGATATAAATGTCTTTACCTTCACTTTTAATAAGTTTAATGCATCTTTGCTGAATAAAAATATTACTTTATGGGCACCTGTGAAAGAAAAGATTGTGTGTTACTGATATGACTTGAGCAATTATTACAGTACTTGACAATGGACATGAATTTGCAGTTTATAACTTAATTTCGATTAAAAGCACCATGAAATAGCTCAACAGGTGCAGCTTTCATTCCTGTTTTCCTACTTGAGTTGGGAAATCTCCAAAACTGTTAGTCAGACTTATATTTCCAAAACATACGTCACCTATATCTGGCACCGAAGTTAGCTTCTTTAGCTCAAATTGTGCTGAAATATTTTGTTCGGTAGCCACATTGATTGAATATCTTCCTCCATTTTTCTATGAATGGTCTGTCATTGTCTCATACTGTTTCTAAAATAAGTTTGTTTTTCCAGGTATCCCACGTTCATTGATGCTGTCCGAGATGTAGATGATGCCCTTTCTATGAGTTTTCTGTTTTCTACGTTCGCTCGCACGGGAAAATGCCACGTTCAGACAATTCAGCTGTGCCGGAGACTTAGCGTCGAATGGATGAACTACATTATCGCCTCACGGTCCCTGAGAAAGGTACTATAAACATATGCTATGAAAAGTGTGCATTTTAAAGGTTAATTAAATGATTCAACTTTGTTACAGCTAGTGGATCTCTTAATAATTATATTTTTGTTTCTTCAGGTTTTTCTTTCTATTAAGGGTATTTACTACCAGGCTGAGGTCCTGGGACAAACCATCACATGGATCATACCATATCAGTTTGCCCATGATGTGAGTACAAATATACAGTGTATTTTTCATGCTTGAGGCTTGTTCAGAAAATAGTTAAATATTTTTTCAGCTTTTTGCTGAAGTATCACACATGAAAAGCACCAGGGAAGCAGGTTTGATTCTGAATAGGGCTGTCGCGGTGAGGGAATTTCCCTTGCGGTAATTTTGAGTGGCTCAATAGCGCGGTATTATCGCCATACATATATATATATATATATATATTCAACTACACATTCAAAAACGCGGATTCATTCATTCAAAGAGACGTAATGAAACACGCTGTTGAAATCATTTTAACTTTGAGCGCCACTTTAGAAGGCTCAGCTGACCAGCTATGCGTCGATGCTAAAACAGAGATTACGCTTTCCTTGGACATGACAACCTATTTTCACAAATATATATGACTCGGCCTGGAGGACAGACGCAAGTAATCGCACGCGCTCAGTCGATCTCTCTCTCATTCACTGTCTGTTTAGGCTTGTTAAGTGCAAATCTACGGAGCCTCTGTACAAATCAGCATGGTACACATTATGTTATCATTACTAACTTGTTTAATATTCAGTCCACATGCATGAAGTGTAAAACGAGAAGGGAATAACCTTACAAAAAAAAGAAAACACGCAAAAATTGCGGTTGCTGCGGTTCTTGCATTCCTCTGCGGTTTGCGCGGTATTGCGATATTGCGGTTATCGCGACAGCCCTAACTACAACGTCACTTACATCATCATCACCGCATCCACTAATGACGCTCCCTGACGCACTCCTAACATTGGATTGTACTATTTTTGCATTCAAATGCAAATGTTTATTTTAAATTCGACTAATATTCATTCTTTACTCACAATCTCCTCATCACAGGCAGGCACAGCACTCATGTTCATGTTTGTGTGTGCTGTCTGCGTCACTCATAGCACGTGACTATATCGTGCGCTATATCGAACATTTTTTATATCGTTATCAAAGAAGGTGTACCGTCGATAAATATCGATACCGTTTTATCATCTGACTGGACAAGAGCCTTTCTATTGATATTTCCACCTGCGCGTGTTCTAGACGGTCTGTCAGTTAGTGTAGTTACAGTGTTGCGCCACAAGGTGGTGGCTGTCATTCAACTGCACGTTCAAAAACGCTTTCATTCATTCAAAGAGAGACATAATGAAACACGCTGTTGAAATCATTTTAACTTTGAGCGCCACTTTAGAAGGCTCAGCTGACCAGCTATGCGTCGATGCTAAGACAGAGATTTCGCTTTCCTTGGACATGACAACCTATTTTCACAAATATATATGACTCTGCCTGGAGGACAGACGCAAGTAATCACACGCGCTCAGTCGATCTCTGTCTCATTTACTATCTGTTTAGGCTTGCAAATCTACGGAGCCTCTGTACAAATCAGCATGGTACACATTATGTTATCATTACTAACTTGTTTAATATTCAGTCCACATGCATGAAGTGTAAAACGAGAAGGGCATAACCTTACGAAAAAAGAAAACACGCAAAAATCGCGGTTGCTGCGGTTCTTGCATTCCTCTGCGGTTTGCTCATCAATAGCGCAGTATTGCGATATTGCGGTTATCGCGATCGTGATATTTAATGTTTTTTTTTTTACACAAATAGACCAAAAGAGACCGTAAAGACATTCATAATGTTAAAAATAAATGCTTGTATTTTTTACTTTCTGTTCAACAAAGATTCCTGAAAGAAAAAATGCATCACTGTTTCCACAAAAATACTGAGCAGCACAACTGTTTTCAACATTGATAATATTAAGAAATGTTTATCGAGCAGAAAGTCAGCATATTCAGCCCTCTACGAACACCTTGGCAATTGAATCGCCATTGGCTAGTAAATTTTTTTGTTTACTCGCCAGACTGATAAATATATACATACACATACACATACATACACACACACACATACATATACACACACACATACACATATACACCCATATACACACACACATATACATACACACATATACACACACACACACACACACACACACATACATACAGTGGGTACGGAAAGTATTCAGACCCCCTTAAATTTTTCACTCTTTGTTATATTGCAGCCATTTGCTAAAATCATTTAAGTTAATTTTTTTTCCTCATTAATGTACACACAGCACCTCAATTCTCTCTCTCCCTCTCTCGCTGCGTGTGTGTGAAACAAAGTGACGGCGAGTCGTGCCCCTTCACACTAGAGTTTACGGTACGTTGCGCATCCATTCAGATGAACTGAAAAACAGCACAGATCACTTGGCGGAGAGTGAAACTCTGATGCGCTCAGTCAGAGAGTGTTCGGCGAGTGAAAATATATCTGAGCTAAACTTATACTTAGCCTCCAACTCACACACTGGCGAGTAAAATTTATTAGAATTTAGTAGAATTTATTAGCAATTGGCTAATATTAGACATCATTTAGTCGCCAGAGTGAAGATTTAGTCGCATATGCGAGTGAATTACTCGCAATGTAGAGGGTTGATATTAGAATGATTTCTGAAGGATCATGTGACACTGAAGACTGGAGTAATGATATTACTAGGGCTGCCCCCTAATAGCCCACTAATCGTTAGTCGACCAGAAGAGGCTTGGTCAACCAAAATTTTATTAGTCACTTAGTCGCAGAAAAAATAAAATAAAATCCACATGCGAAGTCATGCAGTCCATGACGGACAGATCGTTAACGGCTAGTCTATGTGTAATACAGTACATCGGGCAGGACATCTAAACGCTCGCCTATCATTCATTAACCTCAAATATGGCTTATCATCTGAAATATGTATGTAGTAGCAACTTTACATGTCCGCTCAATCTAACGTTAACCTAGAGAAATGTGCGCTATAGTGTCTGTGCGGAGTGTGGAAGCTAGTAGTGCACCCACTGCAGGACAGATGGAGGCGCCGGTGCGCTCACTTGCTCTTAAAATGCTCATACAGATAAGAGTAATACATCTTTTAAATCTGTAAACACTCTACGTTTATTTGTGAGCACTCGCAATAACAACAAAATGCGCTTTTGTAAAATAATGAAAGCAAGCGTGATGCGCTTTCTGCCGTCTCAGTCTCTGTGAACTTGAGCGCGAAACTGTGTATATCTTTGCCTTACAGACATTAAAAATATATCTATAGAGAGTGAAATGTCTACTTTCAAATGAACCAATTCAAATGGAAAACAAATAGCCTATTCTCAGATTAATCAGTATGAAACATGCATAAAGGCGCGTCCACTACTGCGGAGATGACGAGTCAGTGTCACCGAGTTCATCTCTAAATCCGATAACAAAGAAAGCACTAGTTTATCAAATTATTAAAATGAGGTTTGGGTACCGAAACCCGGTACCAATATGGCACCGTTACCTATGTAACCGGTATGTACTAGAACCGAATCAGAACGCAGATTTCGGTGCCATGTCATGCCTGAGCCGATCGATTTAAATATTTGTCCTCTGGTTCTCCGAAACAGACGTAAGAAGCATCATCACCGGCACCGCACGTGAAAAATAATTTCCCGACTGAGAAAACGCACGTGAACTCTAGTCGGAAAGTCGGAAAACTCTAATAATACAAATCCAACAAACCTTTGTAGTAACGCAAGTGTCCATGTTGTGTTCACATTCCGACTTGAAAGCACAACTTGGGAAATGAGAGCATCTGAGGAGCGCGTGAATGCAGTAATTACACTTGCTCTGATGGCAGCAGGTAGCCTTCCGTTAACTAAGCTAAACATGCTTAAATTAAAATGCCTAAAGCTAAACCTCCCTTGTATTCACATTTCTAAACCTGTTGTCCAACAAAAGAGAATTGTCCATATAAGGGATTTCCTGGAGGGTCATGAGTTCCACTACTTCTGTGACTGGATATGTGGATTTTCTGTGTGAGGGCGCCCTCTGGCGTCCAGTATGAATGAAACGGACATGTGTTTATAGTGCTAATGGCCAATCCATAATTTGGGGGGGGGAATTTTTATTTATTTAATTTTTTAATAAGTATCGGTTTAGGCACCGGAACCGTTTTAAAAATATCGATTTGGCACCGGTATCGAAATAAACCCAAACGATACCCAATCCTAATTAAAATGTTAATGCAATCTCCTTACTGTTTTTCCCTGACACACTCATAATCATTACTTCTGCGGTGCGCTGTGGCAAGCTTTATGTGTGCGCTTGAGCGTTTATTAGGCTATGTAGGCAATTAAAGGCTCATTATAATGATTTAAATGGTTTATTAATAAACGCGCGAATAGTCGACTAATGCTTCAAATGAACGACTACTAGTCGACCAGAAAAATCCTTAGTCGAGGGCAGCCCTAGATATTACTGTTTTTACTGTGATTTTGATCAAATAATGCAACCTTAGTGAACATAAGAGACATCTTTTGTTCAACTAGGATTTGCAACACACCAAATTTGCATTTTTGGGTTGCGCAAATGAGGTTTAATTTAATTTTAATGATTTTTTTATTATTATTATTATTATTATTATTATTATTATTATTAAGGAATTGGAATTGTTTTTAGCATATTGCAGTTGTTACCCAACTACTTAACCATGTAAAATCTTTTTAACACATGGCTCTAATGGCTCTTTTTTAACAGTGTCTTATGTTTCGCAGTATTTTGGATCCTGAGGTCTTTCTATAGAATAGATTATTATTTTATAATGACTGTTAACACACCGACCCTGATAATTCTGTCATTATTGATGGGTTTGGCATCCCTCTTCGTACCGATCGTTGCCCTGGAGTTATGGCGAAAAAGTTAGGAGATGGTGTTTGCCTATATATCAACCATGAATGGTGCAGTTCTGTTACTGTGAGAGAGAGTGTGTGTACTAAAGATATTGAGCTACTCTCTGTATCACTTCGGCCACAGTACCTTCCTCTGGAATTTCCACAACTTTTCGTTACCATGGTTTATATTCATCCGAGGGCAAACGAAGCAAATGCAGCTCTCTTGGTAGTGTTGTGCACAAACTGCAGTGCATATCTCCAGATGCCCCGAACTTAATTATGGGTGATTTTAATAAATGTTCCATGAAGCAGTGTTTGCGGAACTTTTATCAATGTTTCCTGCCCCACACGTTTTAACAAGACTCTTGACCTTTGCTATGGATCAATTAAAGGTGCATATAAGTCTGTTGTTAAACCTCCAGTGGGAGGTTGTCCCAGTATATAAAACAGTTTTACAAAAGACAAAAACCACAGACTAAGAGAATTGGAATGTGGTCCGAGGAGTCCACTGCATCTTTGCAAGGATGCCTGGAATGTGCGGACTGGGACGTTTTTTATGACTCTTGCTTGGAAATAGATGAACTCACAGATGTTGTTAGTTATATCTTGTTCTGTGAAGATATGCTCATCCCATGTAAGACTGTCAAAATATTCCCAAACAATAAGCCATGGTTCACAAAATCTTTGAACGTACTTATGAATGAAAGATGTAGAGCATTTTATGAGGGCGATTTGGTAAAAAGATTAAAATTGCAGAAAGAGATTAAAATGGAAGTGAGGAAAGCAAAGTTAAATTATAAAATAAACCTAGAGAAAGAGTTGAGTAGGAATAATTTGGGGTCAGTTTGGAAGGGCATGACCGTTATAATTGGATCTAAAGGGTGTGAGACTAAGATAATTCAGTTACCTGGGTATGACTCTAGTAGTCAATTGGCTGAGGAACTAAATAGGTTTTATCTACGCTTTGATGCACCAGAATTTGGTCCTAAAATGGAGTCTTAAGAATTATAAAATGAGTTGCAGTGGTGACTATAATAACTTTTTTTATGAATTAGATGTAATTAAAGTTTTTAGGGGTTGTAAGAAGACAAAAACTCCTGGACTAGACAATATTGGAGGGCGTTTAATTAAGGTTTGTGCTGAGCAATTGGCACCAGTGTTCTGTAATATTTTTCAGTGGTCTTTTGCTCTCCAGAGAGTCCCTAAATTGTGGAAACAGGCTACTGTGGTGCCTGTGCCTAAAACTGTAAATGCAGTAACACTAAATTATTTTAGGCCAATAGCACTAACATCTCTTATAATGAAATGTTTTGAGAAATTAGTAAAAGAAGAGTTGTTGGCTAAAACCAAAAATCTTTTAGACCCCCTTCAGTTCGCTTCTAGAACACAGCGAGGTGTCGAAGATGTATTAAAGCACTTGGAAGGGAGTAAAACATCTGCTTTTAATTCTTTACAACCTCATATTTTAGCAGATAAGTTAATTACTAATTTTGGTGTTGTTTTTAATTTAGTGGGTTTGATTTTAGACTTTCTAACTGACAGAACTCAAAGGGTGAGAGTTAATGGTAGTTTCTCAGCGCCCTTGATAACATCTACAGGAACTCCTCTATTGTATATTTTATATGCAAATGATTGCATAAGTAAACACAGCAATAGGTTTTTCTTAAAGTTTGCTGATGATACAGTCATCGTGAGTCTTCTGGAAAATAACGAAATGTGTCATGGTCCAGTGGTTGACGACTTTGTGAAATGGTGTGATGATGCCCGTTTGCAATTGAATATGTCTAAGACAAAAGATATGATTATCGACTTTAGAACAAAACCACATTCTTCCCAGGCTACCCTTATTAGGAGTGAGAAGGTAGAATGTGTGGACAGTTATAAATATCTGGGGACCTCTATTGATAACAAATTGTGTTTTGATGTGAACAGAGAAGGTATTATGTAAAAAGGGACTGCAACGCTTATACTGTTTAAGAAAATTAAGATCATTCAATCAATATAGATAGGACATTGATGGAATTGTTCTATAAGTCTTATATTGAGCCAGTATTGTCCTTCTCTATTAACTGCTGGTTTGGAAATCTCAGTGTGAAACATAAAAATGCATTAAATAGAATAGTTACTCTTAGTGGGAAGATCATAAGTAAAGAACAAAGAAGTTTGGTATTCTTGTTTAATAGAAATGTTTTGATTCGGGGCCCAATCTGTGTTCCTGGACAGTAGTGCTGGGCGGTATACCGGTTCATACCGAATACCGGTGTTTATTTTTGTTATGATATGAATTTTTAAAATACCGCAATACCGGTGTATGTCGCTTAAACAACGTTCGGAACGCGACACTGTTTGAAAGGGAACAGCTGTATGTGTTACTAAGCGTGAAAGTTCAGAAACTGAAGCTGTAGAACTAATAGAACGTGATGACACAGAAGAACTCATCCACAATATCCACATTACCATTTTCTGTATCCAGAGCTCTTTATGCTCCCTTCAGGTTCTCGTTATGGACTACCAAAGATGAAAAGCAACCGATACAAATATTTGTTTGTTCCCTGTGCAATTCGGCTGTTAAATGGTCCTTAATGAATTTATGGAAATTTACTGTATTTTATTTAAATATTTTTTATGTATATATGTTTTGGAATGTATTGTATGGGTCTGTTGTACTTCTGTTTTTCGCTGCATCCAAATTGCCCACAAGGGATCTTAATAAAGTTTGATCTTGACCCCTGTCCCTGCTCTCCTCAGCACCCTACAGATGTGGACTACAGAGTTATGGCCACATTTACAGAACTCTACACAACGCTGCTTGGGTTCGTCAACTTCCGCCTTTACCAGACCCTCAACCTTGTCTACCCGCCCAAGGTAAAACACACAAAATGTGCTTCCATTAAATGGCTTTTTATTTTTCAGTAGCAGAATTCCAATTCATTCCAATTGGAAATGGAATGTGTGTGTTTTTTTGTTTTTTTTGTATTCTGGTGCTTGTTAGCTTGATGGACAAGGAGAGTTCAGCCTCAAATCAGAGTGTGAAGAAGATTATGCCCTGGAATCAGAAAGCTATTCTGAGGTACTGACTGTTTCATTTTCTCTTTTTATATCAACATTAAATTGGGCCAAATATTACAGTGTGTTTAAAGATATGCATCTTCACATCTCCTACCAGAAACTGTCAGCGTTAAGCGCCAGCCTGGCCCGTACGGTTCCTTTAGTGGAGGATGAGGAGGCGGAGCTGGACCTTTTCCCTGCTGAAGGGGTGAGCGACAGACAGCTGTCTGTATTATGAACACCTGCAGTGACTTACAAAAATTACCTCTGGTTAATACAAGGGTTATTACATATTGGGTAACATTCTGTAGTTAAAACCAGTATACTTATTTAAAAAAAAAAGTAATTCCAGTGATGGACATGGTAATATAATTTATATTAATGACAACTATAGTTATTTGGAGGTGATTATGATTACTATTATTATTGTTATTATTATATTGTTGTTGTTGTTGTTGTTTTATATTTTACGTTCTAATATTATTGTTATAATCGTTTAATAATATTAGAATATATCGTTATATATTCTATTACCATGTCCAAATAGCAGTAGTAGTAGTAGTGATAATAATAATCTGAATTAACAATAATAATAATAATAGCTAATTAATTAATTATATTACCATGACCATATAACCACAGTTATAATAATAATAATAGTCACTGTTATTTGGACATTATTATTTTTATTTGTATTATTATTATTATTATTATACATTCTAATAATATTATAACATGATTATAAATGGTTATTAATTGTATTACCTTGTCCAAATAACCACAGTAATAGCAATAATAATGACTGTCATTTGGAGATGGTATTAGATTTTAAGTATTTATAAAATTGATATAATATTATTAAAATTTAATATATAACAATATAATAGTAATAATAATTATTATTGTAATAAATATTATTATTGTTCTTAATTATTATTTTTGTTATTGGCGTGGTTATTTGGACATGGTAATACAATTAATGATAATAATAATAATAAAATAATCAGTCATCATTACCATGATTGTTATGATTTATTTTGAAATGTCCCGTTTTAATACTATAGGATGCCCTGAATTATCATGAATATGGAAATTTTTGGTTCCATAGAACTGTATATGTATCATAGTACCGTGGCATGACAATCACAATACGGTTTTGTAGGGCTATATGTAAAAACAATGGAGGCTTAAAGTTGGTTTAATTTATTACACGGCTCTGTGGAATACTTGATTCTGATTGGTCAATCGCGCCATCCAGCGGTATGTTATTCCCAGATAACAACCGCCAAATTGAATAACACACCGCTCATCCGGGTAATACGAGTTATCTTGACCGGTACTACTTATATGCTTAACGAGTCACTCCGCTATCATTGACTGTCTGGCGCCATCTTGTGACTGAAAACACTTAACCAGTCATCAGGTGAAGGAGTGTTACATACTAACTTATTTTTATCACACATCATCTTATCTACGGCACTTTCCCTAAAATAGGGTACAAAATGGTTTGCTGTTCCTTTTTTATTTTTTTATTTATTTTATTTTTTTTAAGAAGCGAAGGCACAAATTCCATGTTCTTTAGAGGTAGAACTAGATATTAGATTAGATATTTTTGATAATATAGTAATTCATATAATTAAAATGAAAAGTACATCAACAAATATGTATTTGTCTCATCTCAGCTCAATACAACAATAAAAATGATGCAACGGTGTCAATCTTTTTGACTGTTAAATTGATATCCAGTCTATTGTAGAATTATTTTTAATTAACAAATCTCTTGAGGTTTAGCTGTTCCCATACTCTGTTACTGCATAGATATTTCCTTTAATAAACTCTGTGACATGCAGGAAGTGACATTATTTCTACAGCATGGTGGGAACATTGATGGATTTTATCAAGCATTTTGGCAAGCAGCTATTCAACCATGTAAAAGTTGTTGTACAAAATTGTGTAATTTTTATGTAAATTATTGATACATATATTATTTTTTTATTCTTTTTAATTTTATGAATTGATTTCTAAGTTTTATTTTTATTTATTTTTTTCGTTAAATTGCAAACCTTGTATAAAAGAAATATTTAGTCTGACCATCTGAGGTGGAGACAGTATTTAAGCCCCTCTTTGTTATTTAAAAAAAAAAAAAAAAACTATTTTGGACACTATCTGCCAAAGGTTTTAATTTGTGGTATATTTGCATACAAGTCAGTGTTATTTTAGTGTTATTAATACACTGATGTAGTTTTTGTTAATATTTTGAATGAGATTTTATTTTTCTTAATTTAGTTTTAGTACTTCAATATAAACTGTTTTTATGGATTTAGTTTTAGTTTTTGTTTGTAGTTAACACCGTTTCAGTTTTAATAACCCCAATACAAGTAACTTGTCGAAATGCAGCAGTTCATAGTTTGTGTATGTACAGTTTTACTGTACCAAAAGTAACATGTTTGTCAGTATATAAGAATGTGTTGTACACTGTGCAGGTGTTTCGGGGGACAGGTCTCCTGGGATAAATCACTGTGCATCGGCAGCACTTACGATGAAACAGACGAAACAATCACACATCACATTGTGGACAGACCCACCATCGACAAACAGTATATCAACAGGTCCGAAAGCAAATCTCCCTGATTCCGTACAGTGCATACTTTACATTAACTGTATATTCTTGTACTTGATGCATTTCTCAACCTTGCAGGTACTACATCCAGCCCCAGTGGGTGTATGACTGCGTAAATGGGAAGATACTGTTACCCGTAGAGGAATATTTCCTGGGAGTTACACTGCCGCCCCATCTGTCACCATTCGTGGAGGAGAGCGAGGGAGATTATGTGCCGCCTGAGAAACTCAAACTCCAGGCCCTGCAGAGAGGAGAGAAGCCACGTGAGGGGTTTATGAAATGATTCTTGGCATATGATTATGTGTGAATGCTCAATGATTGTTGACTTCACAAACAAACTCTTCACAGAAGCAGAAGATGATGATGAGGAGGAAGAAGAGGATGATGATGATGATGACGAAGATGATCAAAGTGAGGATGAAGATGAAGCTAATTTAGCTGAAATGGAGGAGAAGAGAGCTCAGGGAAAGGTAAGATGGTTTTAAGTTTGCAGAAGTTATTTTTGCAGTCATGCTGCTTGTTTGTTTAGTGGCACAAAAATTGCAGACTTACAAGTTAAAACATTTAACCATATATAGCCTACTGTATCATAGGGATGTGCGATATGACGATTTTTGATCGTGGACGATAAAAATGTCTCCACGATCTGCTTTTGAAGACATATCGTAGTATCGTGCTACAGCACACATTCTATCAGCTGCAGTTCTGGCGCCGCCGTATCAATATACTGTACAACGACATACATTCACTTCAGTGATACCTCTGTAGAGTTACACTCACGAGACACTGCGTTTATTCACAATCACAAGTACATTATTAGCATGTGCTTTAAAGCCTTGCCGGTTAAACAATGGGAGGGGAGGAAATACTATGGAAGTCACTGTGAATCAGCAAACATTTGGTTTTCCACATTCCTCAAAATAGCATTTATGTTCAGCAGAAGAAAGAAACTCATTCAGGTTTAAAACAACGTTTGAGTGAGTAAATGACAGAATTGACAGAATTTTTATTTTTGGGTGAACTGTTCCTTGAACGCTAATAAAACAACAAAACACAATGAGAAAAATCACTCGCTACTCTTGACTGAAAAACTTTAATACGGTTGCTTTAATGGGAATCAATCTATTTAGTCTTTTATTTTTATATTTTTTATTCAATTTCTTGAATGCTCCTGCAATATTGTACCTGAAAATGAAACACTGTTTGTTTTATTTGGATATTATGTGTATTTGTAATGTGTATATTTGTTCTTATTTTTTAATAACAAAGATAAAATAATGACAGATTTTTATCTTCGCCCACTTTAGCCTAAATATCTGCCATTCTTTTTTATATTTTGTTACCTTGAAAGGCTTTGCCTTTATAATAGGGAAATTAGATTGGCTGTAATGCTCAGACAACTTGCAAAATAGTAAAACCAACATGACAAAGAATTGTGATAAAATCGTGAATTGTGATATTTCTTAAAAATATCGTGATATGATATTTTTGCCATATTGCCCACTCCTACTGTCTCATATTTGATGTGCAGATTTCTTCTCTAAATGATCAACATGATCAAAACTTTGCTGAAAAACCTGTTATACACGATCTGCTTCATGCCTTCTGTTGTCTGATTTGATAGTTTATTCTTTTTTAGCAAGTAAAAGGTCGTTTAGTAGAATTGCAAAACCCCCCCCCCTCCAGCTTGTGGTTCACATGTCCTTTTGCGTTAAAATCTTATGGATTTTTATTAAGTAAATGTAAGAATAGCTTGTATATTGCGAGTAATATTTTAAAATAAACACTTAAGGTCCTTTGCGCACGGAGTCTGAAATTTTCGTTTGTGTTTTTTTTTCCCCGTGTTCGTCACCATTTCTTATAAAAATGCTTGCTACGGATGCGAAAACTCAGAAAATCGAACCTGATCCAAATTGTTATTTTTTTTTATGACGGATGAAAGTTTCGGAGTCAGTGTGTAAACGTGATTGACACAACGCGAGGTTGTATGTATTTTTTAACGTGAGAAATTCGAACGAGAATTTCGGACCTTCAATCTACTGAAGCAATGTAGGTTTATTTGATTGTCCATTAATAATTTTTCAGAAAAACCATGTTAAAATGTATTAAATAAGATACATTAGGCTTTTGAGGAACGTTTATTTATTGATCTCTCAGTCATTGTTTTATTGCATTGCGTTGCATTATGTGTTTTGCCCCCACAATAAAAAATACAGAGTTTTGATCATAAAACTAAGCATTTAAATATTGTCTTACTAAGGCATATTATTGGGAGATATAGACAGACAACTGATATTTATATGTTTTTAAGTAGTCTGTTATACTGTTATAAAGTTCTCATTGATTCATATTACTAGCTATCAAAATTTCATTTTATATTTATAAATAGAAATTTTAAACAACTGTACCAAACTGGATATTTTTGCTCCATTTGGGCCACTGAATAAAATTGAGGGTTTAGTTTTTTTTCCTCCTGGAGTATAGTGATTCTTACTATATCATACTATTATGAGCCATAAAAGCCTGATGTATCAAATATGATGCTCAACCAAAAACACTTATGCAAACTTTTTAGATTTTTTTTTTATATACCGTATTGACCCGAATATAAGACGATGTTTTTTTTCTTGGAAATACATCTGATATTCAGGGTCTAGACTTTGACATGTCAATAATACACCCACAACACTAGGTGGCGCCAAATACGCATAAAACGAGTGAGTGATGAACTACGTAATGTAATGCGTGTTGTAAAGATCGCAAGTAAAAACAAAAGAAGCAGAAAACCTTACAGCTGCATGAGTCGTGACTGTCACGTTAGCCTGATGACACCAAACTCCCTTTGTGATTTTAAAACATAAGACAGTACCCAGATTTGAAGACTACAGTAAGATTTAACTTCTACTGTTAATAAGATTTTGGTAGGCTACTATTAGATGGATAGCCTAAATGTCCTAATTCAGATGGGCTACCTGTTTTGTTTTTTTTAATGGTATATCAAAAAGTGTATATTTTAAAAATGTGATTGTTGGTACATTTTACCAGTTTTTACCATACTTTCAAAACAAAAATTAAAATAGGAAAAATATGCAATATGAAAATAATTGAAGACAAAATGTGTTTAACTGAGAAAAAACAAGATTTGGTTTTTAAAAAGCCTTTTTCCAAAAGGTACATCTGGAAAAGGGGGGTCGTCTTATATTCGGGCCAATTCGGTACTTCGACCAAAAATTTAATAAACAGTTTGATTATTATTTTTTTTTTACTATTTCATGTCAGGTTTTACGGCTTTTACAATGTAATGTGTACAATTACGTTATTTGATTCTAAGTGTGGATGATTTTTTTTGGCATGGAATCTTTTATTTAAAACATTTTTTTAGTTTGTTGCTGCACCTTAAATGAAACATTTTGTGGAGGAATATGTCAAATAAATATAAAACGTAAAAGTCTGTCATGTGCTGGTTTTCCCTCAGAGTCTGTCAGTAAAGGTGACCCCTGGTAAAGTCAAACCAGAGAACCGTATGCGAGCTGAACAAGAGGAGAAAGCAGAGGAGAAGAGACTGGCTATTATGATGATGAAGAAGAAAGAGAAATACCTCTATGACAAGATCATGTTTGGCAAGAAGAGACACGTCAGAGAGGTAAGCCTGCTTAGAAATAGATGTGTCGGGTACCATTTTTCAATTTTATATGCTTTCTTTTGAAACAATCTAATCTAACCAGAAGAATGATTCAGAATAGTACTTCATTTTGATTCTTAGTTGTTGTTGTTTTTTTATGCAGTGAGATATGAGTTTTTTTATGGTGTTTTGTAAATGATTGCTTTGGTTAATGGTTAAATGAATAAACGTGGTGGTAATTCACAGCTCGGCACAGTGGCTGCCAAAGCCCTTTAAAAGGTGCTTGACCTACATTTGGCTCATTATTTAAGCTCCAGTGACCTTGACAGAATTCATTGTTCATGAATCTAATGCACACCTTCCAACAGGCCAACAAGCTAGCAGCTAAGAGGAAAGCTCACGATGACTCCAACAAAGCCGACAAGAAGAAGAAGAAGAAAAAGTGCTGATTTTTATATGTATTAAAGTGCTTCTTGTGCTGTCAAGAGATTTTGAGAAGTGTTTCTTCTCTCGTTTCAACTTATTGCATCATTTAATGGGAATTGTACATGATTCACTGAACTCCATGTGTCATTTAAGTTTGCCCAAACTGGTTTCAGTAACACTTTTCTGCATTTCTTATATCTTTGCTCATCAGTTTTGACTGACACATTTCTAATAAACATAAGATAATGATTATCTTTAATGAAATGAAGTTTAATGTTTTTTATTCTGTGTGCATGTTTCCAATTTGTGAAATTTTTAATGTACTAACTTGGATAAAGGAAGGTTTTAAAGAATTGCAGTTGCGATTAGAATCAACTAGAAAAAAGCAGATGACGAAAAGCTGTCATATCAACATTGCAAATAGCTGTAAGGCACGTTTCACGCATTCTTCATCTGTCTAGGAGTAGAACTGCAACAACAGGCTCTCAGTATGCTTACTACAGGATGACTTAGTACACTGACTTTCCTTAAGCAGGTCATAAATTCTATAGAATCAACTAGAAAAAAGCAGATGACGAAAAGCTGTCATATCAACATTGCAAATAGCTGTAAGGCACGTTTCACGCATTCATCTGTCTAGGAGTAGAACTGCAACAACAGGCTCTCAGTATGCTTACTACAGGATGACTTAGTACACTGACTTTCCTTAAGCAGGTCATAAATTCTACAATGTTTATATGATTAGATATTAGTGATGTACACTGCCGTTTCCTTTTATAGAAATTAATACTTTTATTTAGTGGGGATGCATTAAAGTGATCAAAATTGGCAGTAAAGACAGTTAAAATATTTACATTTTAAATAAATGCTATTCTTTTGAAGTTTCTTTTTATCAAACAGTCCTGAATAAAGAAGTATAATGGCTTTTCAATATTGATAATAATAATAATGTTTTTTGAGCAGCAAATCGGTATAATAAAATGATTTCTGAAGGATCATTTGACACTGAAGACTGGAGTAATGTGTTTATATGATTAGATATTAGTGATGTACACTGCCGTTTCCTTTTATAGAAATTAATACTTTTATTTAGTGGGGATGCATTAAAGTGATCAAAATTGGCAGTAAAGAGTTAAAATATTTACATTTTAAATAAATGATATTCTTTTGAAATTTCTTTTTATCAAACAGTCCTGAATAAAGAAGTATAATGGCTTTTCAATATTGATAATAATAATAATGTTTTTTGAGCAGCAAATCGATATAAAATGATTTCTGAAGGATCATTTGATACTGAAGACTGGCGTAATGATGCTGAAAATTCAGCTTTGCATCACAGGAATAAAATATGTTCCAAAATATATTCTAAGTTTTAATAATTCTTTACAATGTTGCTGTTTTGCTGTATTTTTGATCAAATAAATACCACCATGGTAAGTTCTGAGAGACTTTTTCCTCCTAAGAAACATAAAAAAACAACAGTATAATAAAATGATTTCTGAAGGATCATTTGACACTGAAGACTGGAGTAATGATGCTGAAAATTCAGCTTTGCATCACAGGAATAAAATATGTTCCAAAATATATTCTAAGTTTTAATAATTCTTTACAATGTTGCTGTTTTGCTGTATTTTTGATCAAATAAATACCACCATGGTAAGTTCTGAGAGACTTTTTCCTCCTAAGAAACATAAAAAAACAACACTTTAGTGCTTGCAAAGCACTTTTTTTTTTTTTTTAAATCTCTCTTTATGCGAGTAAACCTTTTGTTTGACTTTGTCGTTTAGTTTCTCGTGTAAATAGGACTTGATACCCAAGGGCAAAGAAGTCTAGTATATACTGAGGTTTCCGGGGATCACTAGCATTGTCAAATTCCTAAGTGAAAAAACCATTGACACTCCCTTCCCTAAGGACTCTTTAATTTGGAAATCACAACATAAAAGTGGCTTTAGACATGAGGGTTTTAGGCTCACTGCTGCTGAAAAGTTGTTTCCTATGCAAAATGGCGTTAAAGGCTAAGCCAGACCCTCAGAGATTTTAGCTGGGTTCAAAGACAGTACTAACCTAGTAAATCATGTAACCTTGAAAGTACGGCTCTTATGTATTCCTAGAGTTATTATAGTCGGTCCTGAATGTGAATGTACATTTCGGACCACAAATGTAAAAAAAAAAAAAACGTCTCGCCAAAATTTGGCATTTCCGTCAAACGCAAAAAAAAAGCGCAATTTTTTTTTGGGGGGGGCGCAAAGTCTTCCCAGCACAAGTGAAACACAAATGTAATAAAGGTAATTTCTTTTATTCTCTTGACTTTTATGTAGGCTATTTATTTTTAGTCATTCTGCATTAGGCCTATTTCTGTTTTACACAATGGCTGTGGTCTTTGTAAAAAAAAAATATATATATATATATTGCTTACAGTCCAGTGGACATGTGGCAAAACACTGAATTTTCCCTAAAATAAAACCCTGTAGCTAACTTTTTAATGGATGTACTTATAAATTGAGAAATTTGAACAACTTGAGTTGTACAGATTTTGAAATCCACAGAGAACGAAGGTTGCAATGAGAAAATGAGTGTTTCAGATTGCATTGGATTCCTCATTGTGAATTTTCCAAGTACTGAATGGAGTCAGATTCTCCTGGTTTAGGGTGGCAAGCTGAATTATTTAGCTCTGAATGTTCTCCAGTGTCCATTTCAGTCCTTTGTGCCCGATTTCTGTTATACAAGGTATAAAAAAAAAAAAAACCTAGACAGGCTTTGTATGAATCTGAATTAGTTTGAACCGAGTTCAAAAGTGTTCTGCTCGCTTTTATTCTGTAAGCATGTAACACGTGACGTGGTCTCTTCCTTTGTATGTCACACCCAGAGAACCATTCAAATGTTTTTTTATTGTATGAGGTGTTTGTTATCAGTGAAGCCCTTGGTAGCAGCGTTGTATGTTTGCGCTTTCTTTGTATTTGTAGTGGGAAGTTATGATGTTGGTGTTCTCGTCGCTGCTGTGTAACCCCTGTGGGCTTTAGGCCAGGCAACTCATGGCCCTGTTTCTTACTAATTCATGTTCACGCACACAAGCATGCAGTGTTACCCACGTTACCCATCTGCATTCCAGCCATGTCGCTCTTACACTGCCTGGCACTGGCATGACATTCCGTGTGTCTGTGTGTGTCAAGTCAAGTCAAGTCACCTTTATTTATATAGCGCTTTTAACAATACAGATTGTGTCAAAGCAACTGAACAGCATTAATTAGGAAAATAGTGTGTCAATAATGCAAAATGACAATAGTAAACACTAATTTTCCAGTTAAAGACAGTTCATCATTGAATTCAGTCATTGTCTGTGGCTGCAGACAATGAACTGAGTGTTTGAGACCACTCAAAAGGAGATCTGGATGAACAGAATAATCTTGTGCTGGACAGTAAGAGACATTGAGAAGTGAGCGAAATAAAGAGAATGGATTGGGGGATGTCACTCAAGAGGAATTCTGTCATCATTTATTTACCCTCAATTTGTTCCAAAGCTGTATGAGTTTCTTTCCTCTGTTGATAAAAAATAAATAAATAAAATGAAGAAAGTTGGTATCCAAGCAGTTAATGGTAGCCATTAGCTTCCATAGTATTTTTTCCATATGGAAGTCAATGGCTACCGTCAACTATTTGGTTACCAACATTCTTCAAAATATCTTCTTTTTGTGAAATAAACAGGAAATATTTCTGCATTATAATCACATTTCAAAGACCCACACATCAAGTAATTTAACCCTGTGGCTAAACTAAGGGTCACTGTTTTTCTGAGTAAATTTGCAAGTCTGTGCCACTGGATGTGTTCACATGAGTGGGACCTCATTTCATTTTTTTGGTGGGTTTTATTTCATTTACCTCAAAGCAACAATGAACTAAGAGTTTTCCGCGTCAGCTTCACTTGAACCTTGTCAAACACTACGGTTAACATTACAAATCTGTGTAAACAACTTTTATTTAATAATTACTAATAACAAAGACAAAAGCACATAGCAAAATTTCTAAAAACTTAAAATAAAATTAAAATATAAAAACTAAAAAAAATTAATAATTAAATATTTGTAACTTAACTTTTATAACACGAGGACAAGTTCCTCGGTGTCAATTTTTCACAAATGCTTCCCAAATGTTAAAACAAATCACTGTATTCCTGTATTGGACAACCTTAGATAGAGCTTCTGAAATGGATAATGTGTCAAGTTATTGTTTAATTTATGCTCCAATTTATGATCTCTTGGCACAAACCTCTGTATGGAAACTCATACAGCAGTCTAAGCAAACACTGAGATAAGAAAGGATTCTTCCAATTGGTCACTAAAGCAAACATCCAGAAATGGCAGCATGAAAACCATCAATATGATCCAGAAAGTTCTTCTTCCTTGTGGCAAAAGTTCTTCCTGAGCTTGTCTATTCATTCCTATGGGAGTGTCTATAAAGAAATAAGTGAAAGTTTACATGAAACTAGCTGTCATTAACCCATCATGTAAAAAAATACACTTAATAATCTAGGCTTTAAACCCTAATGTTGTGTTCCGGTCATTTTGACCCGGAGAGGATTTTCTTTTTCTTGAAAATGCTAGTTTATGTTATCGTATTGGGCTTAAAATTACTGATTTAACTCTTTCTGGGTAATTTAACCCCCCCAAAAAATTGAGCTGTTTTGGGATTTTTTTTTTTCTTACCTTGTAACACTTGTGATGTTCTTGGTCAAAAATGACCAGCCTAAAAAAAATGATTATAAATTTGTTGTTATGAAAAAATATTACCAAATATTAGATTCAATCTTTTTATCAACTTGTTTTCTTTCAATTAGCATAAGTTTTTTTAATTAATCTGAGCCGAGTTTTTAAGTGAATATTGCCAAAATTATCCACAAATAATGTTTTTTCACTCAAAAACTGAGGTGTGTAAGCTGAGATCAGTGAGGCTTATAATCAATCAATTCCAAAAAGAAATGCAAAGATTACAAAGAATACAAAAACGAAGATTTACAAGCATTTTTAAAGGGGTCATATGATGCGATTTCAATTTTTCCTTTCTCTTTGGAGTGTTGCAAGCTCTTGGTGCATAAAGAAGATCTGTAAAGTTGCAAAGACTAAAGTCTCAAATCCAAAGAGATATTCTTTTATAAAAGTTAAGAGTCCACCACGCCTACCTAAAACGGCTCGTTCTAACACGCCCCCACATATCTACGTCACAATGTGGGAAGGGCTAATCATTTTTGACTGGGAACAGCATAGGTAAAG